AAAAGACAAGCTCCCAAAGAACGTCATGCCACGAGGAAAGCGTTGGGGAAGAACCAGATTCACTGAGAAAGAGGAAGGGACCAAGTGCTTCTACAGTCAGTCAGCCTTTATGTACGACATTGGTGATCGTGAAGAAGGAGGACAATACTTAGTGAATGGTGTCGAAGTCAACCCAATTAGCCGAGGTGTGAAGAATCGTCATGAGCTTGACTTGCTGATTGAGCGTGCGGCTGAGGAATCTCCACCTGTTTTGCCGACCATTGAAGAGCTGAATGCTTGGAACCCCCTTGATCATGATGCTTATGTAAAATGGCTTACTGAAGAAAGAAAACAACATGGAAACAACTGGAATTTCAAGTACATCCAACCATTCACACACGGCCACAACATCGGTAAACTTCAACTTGCCCGCATCAACGGAGAAGAATATCTTGGAATGGGCTGGTGCAAAGTGCATCGATATGGCGAGAATGAGTGGATGGGCAACAAGTGGGAAAATCCGCCATGGATAGTCGAATTATCAAAAAGGTTCAATGCAGCGCTACGCCACTCCGTGGGTTGCGTCAGAAACAATCGAAATCACCGTGGACTACCATGCGACGAGGCAGGTTGGGTCAATGTTGAGTCGATCTTGAAGTACGATGCCATTTGGAAAGACCAACATACTTTGGCTGGAACGGCCTACGTCAACTACCCGATACTTGTTGAGAGATGGAACAACTTCCAGAGAGTGATCTTCACTGAGTACAAGCAAACGAAGAGAATCCGAGCACAAGTGTTAGGACTCAAGGTCACGAAAGGTGAGTTGGAACACATAATGAACAACTTCAATGATGGATTGACCTCTAGACTTGATCGACAAACACTGAGGATGGAGATCGGCACAGCAGATCGAGAGATTTGGCTTTGGCCGGTTGCAATCCGAGCCCCTATGGCGCATTCAAGAGTTCAAGGCGGTGTGAACATTGAAGACAAGAAGACTTCATATCAGATGAACCCTGGAGTAGGATACACTCTTGGAGGAGGATTTCACTGCACCACATTTGACAACATCGCTCAAATCTTCAGAGAAGGACTACGTCCCGGAGGAGGAGGCGACCGCATCAATACGTTCTTCGTGCCATTCGCACCGTGGGACGTGAGAAGTCAGACGGTGCTGAGATTCAGGAAGATCGATCAAACTGATCTTGTCTACATCTACATCACGTACGATTCCATCGCCAAGTTCTCCCCCAGATTGTCAGCAGACGGACACATTTTGGTCCAAGAAACAATTCCATTCGAATCATTCGATGCGGTTTGGTATTACGACTGGAGAGAAAAGGACTATTACCGTCTCATGATCACAAAGGGAAGAGATCAACTTGTTCTTTCTGTGCAAGGAGCAAAGAGGGTGGCCACACTTGAACGATTTGACAAGCTCATTGGGAACATTGTGCCTGATGAATCATCACCCGATCTGAACGAACTTCGAAAACTTGTCGACATCAGGACAGGTCACTTCAGTCATACTCACAGATTATTCCCTGGACATCCGGATTGGAATGACGCAATATCATTATTAGCAGTCACTCATCATCCCAGCAAAGAGGACCATCGACTATGCCCCGCATGTCTGATGGAAACCCCTGCATCATTATCGATTTGTGTGATGTGCAAAGGATTTTTGGTGAGTCATGGATGGAGGAAACGAATCAAGATCACCGTGGCTACAGTACCAAGTGCCGAATCACATCATCGAGAAGAAGATCTCAAAGACCATGTCAAGAAAGCATGGGAGGAGGTGAAGATCGATTTGACAGGTGATGATGATGACGACGAGGTGATGCCAGATGATGATGATGTCACCATGAAGAGTCCAGAACAAGATAATCAACCAGAAGAAGAAGATGATGATCAAGCCTCGAAGAAGGGCGACATCAATGATGAGAAAAGGGACTTCAGAGAACAAGATGAGGTCGATGAATTTCTCAATCAAGAAGGAAAACCGACCGACGAGAATGATGATGAAGAAACAGCGGTCGATGAAATCAACATTGGAGAGTACGAGGCTGGAGAAGCTCGTGACGCAGAGATTGAGTACCCCAAGTGGATGCAGCGAATTGAGTTTGGATCAAAGGTCCTACCAATCGAACCTTGCACAATTGGAGATGCTCAACCAGAATTCATCAAGATCCTCCTGTTGCAGATGGGATTACATATCGTCAGAATCTACAGACTATTCCAACGGAACTTCTGTGGAGACATCGGGACGGCATGGAAACATTTTCAACAGAACCAGAAATTTAGGATGGACCTGGACTCAAGGACACCTTACCTGGGCGAGGATGAAAATGGTGAACTCATTGAACCAACTACACAACAGATGAAAGAGCTCTACAAAGAGATCGGCCGACCAAATCAAAAGGACGACATCGGAGAAGAGGGATTCGTCAATGCATACTATGGGGCAGTGGTACTCAAAAGACTTCTCGTATATACCCTTGAATGTGGCTACACGTATGATGACTTGCAAAACATCTTCTTTGATGAGGAGATGGAGAAGCTGTCGAAACGTGACACCACAATGGATGAGATGAGAAAGACCACGGCGGCCCGCGACGCCCTTGACCGACAAGACGTCATGGTCAGAAGAATCATTGCAGGTGCATATAGGGTAAATGCTGTTTATTTCTTCAGGAACGTTGACTTTCAGGACACAATCACACTGAATCCAGTTGACATTGTGTGTGCTCTTCGTACACCACTTCGAAGAATATCACTTTTACACCTGATCCTTCAGAATGGCCGACAATTGCCGCGACCTTTACTCCAAAAGCTATATGATGCGATCGATGACTACAATCACATCAAGCAACGGGAAGATCAACGACCAAGGTGGGGCATCCACTTGTCTGAAGCTCACATACTTGCGATTGCTGATACCCCGACTCCTGCTGATCGTGAACGTACCAATCCAGCCGCTGGCAAATCGAAAGCAGCCCCGAAAGCTGCACCAGCGCTGGGAAGAGTGTCGAAAGCGAAAGCATCATCATCAGCAACATGGAGAACAGTTGACACCGCTCCTCCGCCAAAACAAGCTCCAGTGACCCCGCCAAAGAAGGGTGGAAAAGACCAAGGGAAAGGTGGAAAATCTTATTCACACCGTGGCGGAGACTGGAACCATCAGGGATACTATGGATGGGGAAATAGATGATTAAGCGATCTGACCTCTGCATAGGTCCCGATTGAACCTGGCGATGCGAGGATGCAATCATTGCTCGAGATTTACCTCTACTTCATTTTGAATGATTTCTGAGAGGACTCTGAGCCGGCTAATTTAGAACCACACATTTTTTTTGAACATCATTGCATGAAACGCTGAGTTTCTACAGCGGTCTACATCTCAATCGACGAAGGAACGGGAAGGTAAACTTCTAGTTCCATAGTCAACTTTGTGTTTTGATTTTTTAATTCACATGCTTGAGTGGGATTCCATGATGGCTACGCCACATTGGATGAACCTCAACGCTAGACACCGACTACGTCGTGTCTACATGCACGTGAACAGAACCTTTATCTTTTGGTAGAGATTGTAGCAAGCCGCTATGTAGATGTGAAGTTCTGAATGGACTTTAAACTCTCCATAATTAAATAAATGAACAGCTGCAGATCTAGTGGAACAATTTAAAGGACACTCCTTTGCGCGTGGCCGACGAAGTTGGCCATGCGTGGGGGGTGCGAATGGAGTGTAGGCTACGGACTATCACACACTCCTATGTATTTCAACTCCTTATTGTCCACCGCCAAGGGATGCATCGAATTGCACCTTTGGCTCAAGATCACTGCAAGCACCAGAAGGAAAATATAGCCATGCTGAAGCCGCAACTCCTGTGCCGTCGTCACTGAACGCAACTAAACATCAGAACATAATCGGGGAGATAACCTCCGATTCGCAACATACATACACATACATACATACATACATACATACACACACATACACACATACACACATACACACATACACACATACACATGCACATACACACATACACACATACACACATACAGACATACAGACATACAGACATACAGACATACAGACATACAGACATACAGACATACAGACATACATACATACATACATACATACACACATACACACATACACACATACACACATACACACATACACACATACACACATACACATACACACATACACACATACACACATACACACACACACATACACACACACACATACATACACACACATACATACACACACATACATACACACGCATACATACACACGCATACATACATACATACATACATACATACATACATACATACATACATACATACATACATACCTTACATACCTTACATACCTTACATACTCTACATACCTTACATACCTTACATACCTTACATACCTTACATACCTTACATACCTTACATACCTTACATACCTTACATACCTTACATACCTTACATACCTTACATACCTTACATACCTTACATACCTTACATACCTTACATACCTTACATACCTTACTTACCTTACATACCTTACATACCTTACATACCTTACATACCTTACATACCTTACATACCTTACATACCTTACATACCTTACATACTTACATACATATATATATATATTAATACATATACAGGAATACATATGCAGACGCAATTATGCTGCAATTATTGTATAGGGGATGTGAAGTGAAGTGAAACCTGCATGCTGCGCTGGCGGCCCTTTCAGGACACAGGCAGAAAACAAGGAAACAACTGTATACAACAGTTTGCACCTTGGGAACCAAGCACACTTAAATCCACCACCGGAGCACCTTCATCCTCTTGAGTTGACTGCATTGCGATATCTGCAGTATTCCTGTTATTTCTGTTATTTCTGTTGGGAGTGGACTGGCCACACCGAACGGAGTTTTAGCGGTGGCACCAAGTTTGAGCCACGCTTTGATGTCTTGGCAGTGGACTTTGCGGAGGCAGACCCGTATGCCTTGGAATTCGTTGATGCTGCGGAGGGCCACGATGCAAAAGTGCCCGAGTACGACGACTACAGCCGCTCCGCATGGCATGGCAACTACACTTGGACGGACCAGGCCACCCCTGAATGTGGCTTTTCCTGTTTGGGAATTATTTCAACTGGCCCATTGTCACATAATGTCACATAAGTCCTCCAGATGCATTTTTTGGCAGATTCGGCTTGCTACAAGTTCTTTGATCTTCTTTGTATTGGGGAGGAAAAGGGAGGCAATTTGGCAGAACTCAGTCTTTCGCTGACTGCTGCTGTGCAGGAGTGGCTGGAGAAGAGGTTTGCCAAATTTGGGGGTGAAACCTGGTCCTCGCGACCCTTGTCCATCTACGAGGCAAGTCGAAAATTCAGTGCCTTCCAGTGGTTCCAGAAATCAAAATCCGGGTTTGTCTGAAAGTAGGGTACCCATTCCTTCCCATTTCCTCCACCGGTTAATCATCATCATCATCATCATCATTCCTATGTAAATGGCCAGAAATGAGGGTACATACAGCATACAACCCATGTTCAAACGAAACCCATGTTTTCCATCATACAATTCACGATATCAATTCAGATTCATTTATTACATCCCCTTAAAATGGTCCGTCTGCATGTATGTTTTTCAGGTCCCCACTTGGCAACACCCCCCGGAAAAAACAACAGAAAAAAACAACATGCTTCACCAGGTGCACTTGGCCAGCTGGGCGGCAGATGCAAAGAACTATCGGGACATTGCGCAGCCACTGGTTCAGCATCTCAAGGCGTCGACTCATCGGGGCAGCAACACATGGCAAACACAAGAAGAAACCATGGCCATACCAGGCGATACCAGACCATACCAGGCCATACCAGGCCATACCTCATATTTGATGTCTTTTTCGAGAATGAAGCCTTGCAGGAGGAGGGCTCATGATTTGTTCATAGTACACTGTGATTGTGTATGAAGCAGTCGTTTTTTCTTTCTAAACCCTACCAGCTGGTGGACCCGGACCAGTCTGGCTTTGAACAATTGACTCTGCCAATTTTGGAACAAATATCAGATATCATGTCGATGCTTTGCAGCTTGGAATTGGTGACGAACGATCCTATGTTTTGGACCCAGTTTTTCAAGATACTGTACGCAGAGGGTGTTGCCAGGTTGCATAGGTTGCCACGTCCTTCTTTCTCTAGAAGGGATACCAAGGATTTTTTTAAATGTTGCATTTGTTGCAGACTGCTTGAAATCATCTCGAACTTGAAGTCCATGATGTGGCGAGCATGTTGCCTGACAGGAACTCAACTTCACCGCAGTCGAATTCCTGCCAGTGACACAGTGGCTGGCCTGGAATTTAAGGGACACTGCTGGCCCTGAAACAAAGCGAGGAAGGCAAGTCTCCTGATGTCTCCTGTAGTACAGTGTCTCTAGACCAAAACACTCAAAACACTTTTTAAACCCACTGCTCTAGAGTCTGCCGGGGGAGGCCCCTAGGGATGGTGATTCCATGACAACATATGACAACATATGACAACTATTTATTTCCCAAATGGTCAGGACCAGCTCATTGGAGGCGTTGTGAACCGAAGTCATTGACCAGACTTGGGCATCCAATCCTTGGTGGTTTGAATCTACCCTGGTCCGCTTTCCGCTAGGCAAGTCTATGTAAGTCTATGTAAGTCTTATGGCTTATGTATCCCCTGTCCTTCCAAGTGCGGCCTTCGCACGGTTGCTGCCTAGCTTTCTTTTTCCGGGGGCGGTTGAATGCAGCTCTTTCTGGGAGAATTTCCTCTTGCACAAAATTCCCATAGTCAAAACCAGCTTGAGGAAAAAAGTGGCATAGCGCAGTCCCAGGTATCCTTGCGACCAATCTTGGGGATACCAATGCGCTGCTGGGCTCTATGCAGTGGATAGACGCTTGGGCACTCCTGATGACTTCAGATTCCTAGTTGACACATTGTGCCTTGACCGAATTGGAGTCCTTAAGCTCTTAAAAAGTGTATATGAAATAGAAAGATAAAAGAAAAGGCTCACGTGTTCACTCATGTTCACTTATGCTCACTCCATGGAATCCTGTACGAAAAGCGAATTGGTGACAAACATGAGGAACAGCTGATGCGTCGACGGATCCGTGTCAAGTTAAGGCACAACAATGACATTGCCGTCTTCATGGACTTTGTCGGCGCTCATTTCGCAAAGGACGAATGGGGCTTGGTGGAGTACTGTGGTGTGCCACAGTACGAGTACGAAGGTAATCTGGGAGAAATTCCTGGTTGGGGAACAGCTCGCTACAACTACGCAAAAGCGGAAGTTCAAGCATATTTGCTTGGTGCCTTGCCTTGAGACTTTGCCCTGAGTTTAGAGTTGTGCTCCTTGTGTACAGTTTTTGTGTATCTTTGTGTGACTCAAGGTTTGACCAGGTGAAATGAAACACAGATGACCAGGTGCAGCCCATCACTGGATCGATCAGTTTCACATTGACGGAATGCGCGTGGATGCTGTGGCGGCGATGATTTACAAAAATTTTGGTAAAGAGGAAGACGGAGATGCCATTATGGCTGGAAAGGCCGCAGATCAAGAGAGAGAGAGAGAAGACAGTTTAATTTGGGGCAAATACAAGCTTGATATTGTCACTCACAAGTGCTCATGACTTGGTCTTCCATGGACTTCCAAAAGCACCAAAGAAAGCTCTCGGCTTTGCAGGGCAAAATCAACGAGGATGGCATCTCTTTGCTTCGGCGTCTTTGTGTTGAGGTGCGTAGCCGACACCCTGGTGTACTGCTTTCCGCGGAAGAGTCCACCAATTTCAAGTGGGCTTCTGATCCGAAACCAAGTGCACGGGTTTTGATGAAGTGTGAGCATGTCGGGATATGTCGGGGTAGAGGTTTGAAGATGATTGAGTCATATTGAGTCATTTGATGTAATTTGATATAATTTGGACGGATCTGGCTTGGTCTAGGAGTTGAGCTTGCCGGACACAAGGGTCACACTAGAAAGGTTTCTGTTCTGCTGTATTAGATTCGAGTCACAATTACACGACTTATAAAGACAGTGTTGCCCTTCTGTCTGTGGTTTCTCTATTTTTTAGAAAACCTTTGTGCCTTGTGGGCAAATATATATATATAATTATGTGATATTATATATATATATATATACATAATATATATATATACATATAATTTATATATATATATACATAATTACTGTATTTATTCCTGCAGGACATCTAGGTGGAGTTTGCCTGAAGCAGATGTGCATAGATTTGCTGTGCGCCAGCTCAGGTTACTGACCGCCCTGCTGAAAACGGCACTGAACGTCAGAGAGTGGCTTTTCACTATTCAGGGCATTTCAGGGCTGTAGCTTTCACTTTAATTGGCTTTGGGATCTTTAGGCTTGGCGCCGGATCAGTCCGTTGCCTTTTTTTGGTAATTCTGAGCTCCGGAATAGATAGAGTGCAGGCACTGACATCCTTCAACAGATTTCAACAGCAACGAACCCCCCACCTTGATCCCCAAGCTGAGCTGCCTGTACTGCCAACATCTCCTTATTCGTAAGGATGATGCCTTTTGTGTGATTTTTTGCACGTGTCCCCTTCATGACCATATGACTCATATGACTCAACATGACCCCTAAGGGCGACGTCAGAGATTTGGGATTCCACTTGAAATGGAATATGGGCTTCACCTATGATGCGGTCTCCCTCTTCGGAGCTGATTTTGACCAGCGACCTCAGCTGGAGACTTTTGGATGGAAGAGGTTGGCCTGGTCCCTCGGCGCAGTGTCACCGTTACATGGTGAATTCAGTGAATTCTATGATTTTCCCAATGCTTGGGGGGATGAACATCATGAACATCCATTGGCAGGCTAGCGGCTAGCTTTGCGAAAAAAAAAAAGGTGACACCTATGTGACTCTGCCCTAGTCAGATGCTGTGAGAATGCTCGGCCATGATCGACCATGAGGTTTTGTGTGTCCTCCTCAATGTTCTTTGAGCTTTTGTGTGCCCAAGGTTCTTGAACTATGCCTTCAACGAGAGGCGGCAACCTTTCCCATCCCCCATCCCAATGAAGCAAAGCACCAAGTGAAGGATAGTGAAGGGAGATAGCATATGTGGCACGACCAATACTGAGGTATTTTTACCAATGTGAGGGGATGGTCATGCACCAATGCATAGGGCTTTTCATGCCCAGCATATGAAATCTCAGTGAGAGTGGACGGCATGTATTGATATTGTTTGTAAATATATAATTATATATACTGTATAGATAAAATATGATGACTATATTCATGTACTGTATACATACAGTGTATACGTGCAGTACTTGCTCGAACGTGAAGTAGTTTTCACGCGTTTTTCCGTGAGCTTCCACAGCTCACCTTGCCTCACCAGCGGAAAAGAACTCGCTTCCGTCCTTCCAGGTGGGTCCTCCCTTTCTCTCACGACAACATGCGGTGCAAGAGCTTGGTGGACCAGATGGCTGAGGATGAAGACATGGGCGATGATTGCAAATACGCCCAAGCACGCGTGTTGCTTCTGCCACTCTGACTCTAAAATCTCATAAAATCTCTAAAGACAAGATGCATGTCAAGATCAGAACAGCAAAGTGGCTGGCTGCAACAGAGAATGTACATGCAAACTACGCACAACTCCGCAACATTCAACAGAATATCACAGATCACACACACACATATACGTAGTTATGTAGACCTTTGCTTATTCTTCTTGTGCGTCAAGCTGCTGCAGCTTCCAGTAGTACCGGGCCCAGGGCAGCAGTTGGGGCAGCAGTTGTCCCTTCCCAAGGTACACCATTGGGATGTTGGGGCGGCCTTTGCTCTTCATGGGCTCCGAGATAGGTTCCTCGGAAGCTGGTTGGACCAAGAAAACAGATCCTGTCAAAACTAAAGAATACAGAAATCTCCCCAAAACTTGGGTGGAACCCACAAAACATTGGCTTGGAAGAGGATTTTCCTACTTTACGACCTGGGCATTTTTGCGTTCCATATCGCTTTTTCAACATCGCTGGGGTTATCTAAAGCTGCGAATGTGTTGAAGGTATTCGAAGACAAGATCTCCTTTCTTGTCTGCAACTCCTTGGGCACAATCCAAGGTGAGCCTTGGTGTTGTGCCAATTCGGTCGACTGGGAGTCAGCGGCTCTTGATCCCCAAAAGATGCAGCAGCTTGGCATAGGGTGGTCTTGCGGCCCGCATGGACTGCAAGAATTGTTATTTCCAATTGGGTTCCACGTTTGTTTTGAGGAGAGTATCTCAGCCTCCTTTCTTCAGAGCGAAGATTTCCTGGAGATACAAATTAATGCATAATCAGCCAGCACTTGTATACAATTTTGGGATGCAGCAAATCCGTAAAAAGCCTTCACTGAAGGCTAGGGACAAAAACCGTCTACTTGGTCGGAACATGGATTGGCTTGGGGCTACTGATACTGTATGGTTTCCAGAAACAGCCATTTATATACTCTCACTTTGATCATTGAAAGTTCAGAAGCGTACAGGGCGTGTCGCTTCGAGCAAGGTTGAAGCGGTGGGTGGCAAAGTTGCTCAAGTCTCTGGGCGACAGAACTGGAAGTTTTAGGGATTTCTGGCGGCTGCCAGCTGGGCCCTTTTTGGTTGGCAAGATCGGAATTATTTGATCATACAATACAATACAATACAACAAGAATAGAATGTAACATATAAATTCGTAGTATAATCTCGCGTCCACTTGTTTTGAATATGTGATGGGTTGAGGCTTTATCGCGACCTCCCATGCCTGCACAGACAAGATGATCGAGCAGATGGTTTCCACTGGCTGGAAGCTTTTCCTGCAAGTGGCCTGGGAACCTTCCAATTTTTTGGAGCCTTCTTTGATCAGATTTGATCAGGGCATATCAGAGCACAGTTGGCATGGAGCTTTTGCCCCTTGTTGCATCAGTTGTTCCCAGGCCAGCATCATGATGTTGAAGCTTCCTGCTGCGTCATCACTCCCCCTGAAACATAATCCCATAGTCATCAAGGACAAAGATTCCGGAAGTCAGTGCGTCTACTGCTGGAAGCGGATGGCAAGACATGAGCGGGAGGTGGGACCTGGGAGCCGCAGCCGGCATGTCGCATCTTCTCACAGAAGCAGATGCAGGGAATGGATGGGAAAGGATTTATGCGACCCTTGTCATGATAAAGATATAGGGAGAGAGGCACTTGCATCATCTTGCACGCCGATGATCTTGACGCATGTTGGAGATAGAAACCCCTGCGCACATACATCATACATCATCATACCCTGGTGTATGCGGTACAGAAAGCAAGCTTCCGACGTTTAGGGACACATTAGCACATGAATTGCCACCTGCTCCCGTGACGCTCACACGAGCACAGCGCATCTGAAGCAGTTAACGTTGCACGCGCGTACTTTTTCTTCAACAGAATGCACAGGACATATGGCTTGCATGGTGCAATATACTGTAGGCGAGAGACCATGTGGCAAGAGGCCACCCTGGTGCTCAGCCGGGGCAAACATGCTGAGAATCATTTGTGGTTATTGAGTTGATGTTTTTGTGGATTGTAAAGGTCAGAATCCATAGTAGCGCTTCACTGTTGTCACTTGCAATACAATTGCGTCAGGCAATTGTCGTCATCAACGCTTCGAAAGATTACGTAAGGGAGTACTACGTGAATTGCGGTGAGCAATGCGGAGCTTGGGAGTGCATAGCAGAAGCTTTGGCCTGGAAGAGGGTCGAAATTGGGAGCTGAAACAGGGTTATGGATGATTGCAGTAATTATGGCAACTATGCGACCATCTCTGGGGGCTTTACAAGTTTAACATCCATACAACTACCATCTATTTTGGTCTTCACCGGTTTATATAAGCTATATAAGTACGAGGATCTTTTACCCGCACCCAAATTGAGAATATGCATGAATAATATGCAAGAATCGATTTGACTTTGGCAGTTCCAGGCTGATATTTGGGCAGCTGGGGCTGGCAAAATCTTTTGGCCTTGGTTGGCCCTTGAATGCCTGTGGAATATGTATTTGGAATTATTTGGACGTATATCAACACGCGCGTATTGCATACAGTAATACATAAATATAATACAATAGTGAGAGGGAGAGATATAGGAGAACTTGAGATCTGGATAGGCAGCATGTAGAGAGGAGTATGACAACACGCACCATATATATCCATATATATATAAATATATAATAATAATACTACTAATAATAATAATAACAATAAAAATATATATATATATATACCTGGATAATCCACCTGTGCAAAATTATCGCTCGAAATCCGAAACAGCAATAAATATCGCCGGTTGCCTAAATTTTCGCCGTTTCCAGTTTTTTTCGCCGTTTCAGTTTCCACATTTTAGGCTCTTGATTTTTTTCGCCGTTTCGTCGGGTTTTTTCGCCGTTTCGTCGGGTTTTTTCGCCGTTTCAAACCCGGCAAACGCATGCAAAATGACAAATATACAAAAACTGTTCGGAGGCAGAAAAACATGCCGCCAGCAATAATTCCTGAAAAGGCAATAATTTTGCATACATTGGAAGACGCAGGTATATATTATAAATGTCTATATATAATATATAGTACACAATAATATAATACCCCCAACTACTTAGGGTCTGGAATGGGTATACCTCCAGGGTTCGAGGGCCCAGGATCTTACCTGCTTCACAAAAACATTGTAGACCTTTGAGACCCTATCATTGTAGACCCTCGGAACTGTGATGTATCAGGGGTTGGTTTTTCATTTTAGACCTTTACCATAAATTATTCCTTAGGGAACTTCATGCTGCTAGACCCTTGACATGGGGAACCTAGTGCAACCTTGTATGAACAGGAAAAAGATGCAGGAGAGTGGTTTCCGGTTATCCGGGAGTCGACTAAAAATTCATGTAAGAGTTGAAGATAGCTTAATAAGTATCCAGGCACCAGAGGAATCGAACGCCTCGCGACATTTCAGACAATGGCCGAATGCGAAATTTCAGACAAAGTACGGCGAAAGGTTGGCAAGATGTTACTTTGGATGCTACGTTCCAACAGCCATTTCAATCAACTAGCAGCACGCTATGGATGCTACGTTGTAACATCCATTTCGAGCAACTTGGAAGACGCCTCGGATGCTATGTTCCAACAGCCATTTGAATCAACTTCCAGGACACTATGGATGCTACGGTTTACCATTGCTACGTTGTAACATCCATTTCGAGCAACTTCGAAGACGCTTTGGATGTTACCTTCCAAGAGCCATTTCAATCAACTTCCAGGACACTATGGATGCTAGGTTGTAAGATCCATTTCGAGCACCTTCGAAGACGGTTTGGATGCCCCTAAAGGTCCCCCAGTCCCCCTAAATGTCCCCTTAACCCAGGGTAAACCCTAAAGGGTTGAGTAACGTATTGAATCGAGAGGCAAGTTACCATATGCCCCGAAGTCCCCCCTAAAGGTTCCCCAGTCCCCTTAAATGCCCCCTTGTCCCCAGGTTTAACCCTAAAGGGTTGAGTACCACATTGAAAGTTTTGTGGTTCAGGGGCGAATGTGGCCCCTTTTGGTTCAGGGGCGAATGTGACCCTCTTTCAGGGGCGAATGTGACCCCCGTCCCTAATATAATGTATATATATAGTTCATATATACATATATATATAATTATATATATATATGTATATATGACTCGACACATAATATGCTCTTGATGCCAGTCCAGGGCCGCCCAAGGCCACAGCCATGGACGACGGCAGCTTCACCCCACGGACCGAGCGGGTCACTTTGGGCAAGGGACGCTTTTGTACCGCGCTGCCTCCGTTGTCAGGGCAGATTTGGGTCCCCAACGCTCCCAGGCGCCTGGAAATCTCCTGACATTGGAGGAACTTACTGGGGATATCTGGGGATGCTCTTGCCAAACGTCTCTACCTTGACTCCTTTCCTGTGGGTCTCAATTTCTTTTGTGCAAAGTGAGGTGCTAGGGCCTAGGGTTTGTCCATGACTAATCCGGTTGCTAATCATGTACATGATTTTCATCGTCACTTTGTTTCAGGCCTGAGCCCGTGGTGATCAACTTTCAAGTTCGTCATGAGGAAACGACTCATGGAGATTCTTTGTGCCTCGTGCTGATTGATGAAAGGTGCCCTCCATCAAATCAGGCAATGGCAATGGAAATTACGCAGTTCAATAGGGAAATCATTGCACTCATGGACGTAAATGGCACATTTTCTGTTTCCAGCTTGAATACCTCAAAGTTTGACATAGTTTGACTGTAGAAATGTGAGGTGCGTTGCGGCGTTGATATGACATTGATATGCCACTATGATCCACACAATGCCTCTGTCGGGAACCCGCCTCCGAGGCGAGTGGTGGGAGATTGCCCGGAGCTTGGAGACTGGCATCCCATGGAGGGGGCGAAGTTACGAACCAGCAGCAACGCCTTTCCTTATTGGCATCTTGGATCATCTTGGATCATCTTGGATCATCTTGGATCATCTTGGATCATCTTGGCAACTCTGAGTCCTGAAAGATCAGCTACTATCCCGACATTGTCGTGGTCGAAAGACAGGGGAGTTGTGTCATGTCGTGTCAATGTATTGGAGCCTTCACCTCAGGTTGTCCCAGGTGGCATGATCTCCTGCATCCCGCACTGTACATCAGTGTGCCATACTGTCACTGTTTATGCAAGGCTTCCTTAGCCCTTACCCGATCTTACCCGATCTTACCCGATCTTACCCAGCTTACCCCCGAAGATTCAGTGGGCCCTTGATCCTTTCGGCGGAAAGTACTTGTGCCAAGGACTGCCACCGTGAAGGTCCCCCGCGATTTGCCGTTTGTGGAGTTCAAGTTGGTGACTGCAGGGGGCCACAGGAGGAATTTCCGAACAACGGGACAAGGCGGCTGAGAGGTTTGTGAATGTTGCTGAGCTCTAAAGATTTTGCATATTTTGCCGAGGTCTCTTCAGAGGGAGAGACCACATGGGAGCCGATCTATTTCAACAGCTGCTTTCACAGCAGACTCAAAGAGAACCGGCCACGTCACGTCCGTCACTTCACATCTTTGTGTTTTTTGCATCCTGCCCAGTCTTGCAAGAAATGACTTGGCAAAGTGATGCTGACATTTCATGGAAGCAAGAAGAAGTATAGTAACAATTAGTAACATCCCATTTTTTCTGGTTTTGCACTATTTGGTACCCTTCAATTTTCAGTTTGTTGCCGAGTTGATGGTGTTTCCATGTGTTTCCCGAGGATCCCTGCACCTGAGTGGTGAGAAAGAGGAATGGATCTGCGTCGAATGGGGAGAATAAGCCGCTGAAGCCGTTTCGGCTGGCCATTCCTTGGAGAAAAGGCAAGGCTTGGACCAGTTGCTGAAAATACCTGTGACTGACTGCAGGTCCAGACTGGTTCCACTCATTTTCCTGGGGTATTTCCGATGCTACACATATTTCGCGTTATTCTGAGAGAGTTTGAGCTATTTTGCATATCCTTTTTGGCCCGGTAGCATCCGGCAGTCAATTTCTCGATGTGGAAGCATAAACTCAAATCTGTGTAAATCTTACAAGCAGAATGTTTCATGCTTTACCCGAGTTTGGACCACTGGTGCTGGCAAGCGCAGCTGGAAAACAGCTGCTGGTTAGGACAAGACTGACTGCACGCCACGTTGCCATGGATGTCCTTTGAGCCACGAAAATATAGAGGGCGGCTGATGCTCCGGCCTGGTGGTGAAGCTATTCTGTTTGGACCCGCAGCAATCTTTGTGATCCTGGCAGGTAATTAGATATATCATGATATATAATGATATATATAATTATATGTATATATTTACGGTGGGAGTCATTTCGGTCACCCGGGGCAAGTTCGGTAAATTTAAAGCCTCTGTCGATGAGTCGGGTCCAAGACGTGCCGGAAGTCACAGATTGACCGATGAAGCCGGACAGATACAATCCGAATTTTCGGAAAGATCGAGCCATTTGAAAGAAACTGCATCATATTTAAATTGTTTGGGTTATCCTGGGTTTGTTGATATTGATTCCGGGCATCCACCATTTGGATCCACAGGAGATCTGGCAAGGCAAATCCAAGATTGTAAAGCTGTTTGCACTGGTGTGCACCATATATGTAGTACCACTGTCACTGAAGGACAATCATAAACTAGGTCCCCCATTTTAGCAGAGCGTTAAAGGTAGAGTTTGTATAAATTACAGTAATGCTTTCATCACACTATCGTCTGTCATTTTCCACCGTGTCTTTGTATCTGTCGTAGCCCTCAACAGAGGCACAACCAGATGCCACCTCCGCCAAATGACTGGAAATGCTCAGGGCTCACCTGGCGAGCATGGCATCTTTGACTCACTCATGATGATATTTGAATATTTGGAAAATGACCGGCATCCCAAATATTTTTGATATATTTTGGTGTGTGTTGTTTATTGTTGTTTGTTATTTGTGATCTATTTGTGCAGTTCGCAATCTATATAATTAATTTGTGTTGGCAAAAAGTTTTTGTGGCGGTGCAACCTGCTCAAGGTAGTTCTACCCTTTGTGCACATTCAACAGGTTGGAAATTGGTCCTTGGTGCAAGAAACGGGAAAACAGTCTAGTCATATGCGCTGTGTATTGCAGGACCATATTTTCTACATATTTTCTACATCATACACTGCGTTTAATATAGACAAATAGATAAATAGATCAACAAACAAACAAATCAATAAATGAATCAATAAATAAATAATGTCCGCATAATATACATATCATAATATTCAACATGACAGTATGTACTTTACTTATAGTCTTATTGATAGATTACCATATTGCACACATGATTACAACCAAATCAAATCTGGAGAGAACTTTGGACAAGTGCCAGAGGCGAGTCTCCGGGCCCCATGATGGGGCTGTTGCCGTTGCTACCAGGGATGCAGATTAATTCAAAGATGGATGGGTCCGGCCGAGTCCATCGACAGAATCGATGGCGCTTCGTGAGTGATTTCGCTCAGGTTTGATGACGAAGGCCATTTTACGATTCTCCCGCTGCGTGGAAATTGCCGCGGCAGACAGCTTTCCATTTTTCAAAGGCAACCCACTTAGTCCCACTTTTCAGCTGTCAAAAGGCAGACAGTTTCCGTGCGCAGAGGGTGCATGACCGTTCCAGCCTTTGTGCTATTCAAAGGGCTGTGAAAAGCCGACCGGTTCCAACATCGTACCTTCTGACCCACGAAATCAGCAAGGACCCTGGTGCTTTCCTCCAACTCCTTGGCGTCTGGTGTCCCTTGGGGCAGCGGCTGTTGAAAGGCGCTGCAAACTCCAGGCATTTGGCCATTGATAGGAACAATTCTGCCGCTAAATGGCTGATGCCCTTTGGGACGTCAAATCCTCTAAAATCCTCTAAATCAGCACCACCAGTAGATTAGCTTACAGAGAGGATAGGGCCAAAGTGAAAAGGGGCCGCAGGGATGCCGCCGAGGGAGGGATGCGTGCCTTCCCTTTGGACATGGGTTTCGATGGTTTCGGATGGCTGCATGGCAGCTGCTGACAACTTTGCGGGATTCTAGTGGTAGAACAATACACTCAATACACTATATCACTATTCTATTGACTATATCCAGGGATCTCCATTCGTGTCCAAACAGGGGGAGGGTGCAGCTTGGCACACAATACCACCAAGGATACTCCACGTTGTGCTGGAACACACAGCGACTGCTGCCAGGTACAGCCTGAACCTGGCGATGCGATGTGACCCGTGCCACATCGTACCACCAAAGCCCAAGGAGCAGATCCCTCGCCCTGTCTCCCCAAAATCCCTGGGTATTGTCCCAGGCGAAGTAAAGATAGACAAAGTATCTTCTGCATCCCATGGCTGGCCGTGAAAAGGGTCTGAGTCTTGAGATTTGAGGGCACTTTATGCGTTGCAGAAATTCAGACGAAGAATATGAACCCAACTAGGTACGTACAAGAGTCCCCCCCCACACACACACAGATGTGTATATATAATCATAATAATATATAATCATAATAATAATAATAATAGTAATAATAATAATAGTAATAATAATAATAAATATATATACCCAGGCCTTCAAAGGGCAAGTTTAACTTTGACATAACCATGGTGGGCCCCCCTTGTCTTCCCCTGGCATTACCTGTTGAGCCGGAATATAGTGGTGCATGACTCATGCGCAGCAGTATATTGGGTGGAAGAGCTAACATAGATTTTGAAAAAATCGAGAACATAAATGGATCCTAGGTGGTGCCCCCGAAACATGTTCGTGTGAAGTACCCGTGAAGTTACGTGAAGTACCCGTGCAATACCATGTTTACCCGTGAAATGCTGAGTTTACCCGTGAAAAACTAGGTTTATCCGGCGCCCCGCCTGAGCTGGCACAAAACAAACCCTATGGTTGTTTTTTGATCCCAAAGCTTTGACTGATCCTGCAAAGTACTTCGGCCCAAAGCAACCAATCCCAGAGCCCAGGACACATAGTTTCCTGCAAAAAAGCAAGACCGTGGTTAAACTTAGTACTTCATGGGTAAACTCAGTATTTAACGCGAATGCCAAGTTTAACTTTGCATTTGTTTAAATGCTAAGTTAAACTTCGACGTGGGAAGGTCTGGGTATATATATATATTATATCCTGTCTGACCATTGCAGGGTTTCTCCTCTTCACGCCACCAATGACTCGATCTCCTCAAAATTTCGCGGATGAAATTGCACTACAGCATATGACAGTTCGCGGAGTCATTTGATTAGTAGATCCTCATCCATCTTGACCCGTCTTGAACCGTCTGTCGCGTGGCCGCAGCCAAGTATTTCAAAACACTCGCTGCGATTCCTGCGCCTTTTGCGCACTTGGTCCAGGGCATCAAAGTTGCAAACAGCTGAGACTATAGATATGACATTTGGGTAGCTACTGTATGGGGCAAAGATGTCAAGAGTCAAAATTAAGGGTTTCAATATACGATATGTCAATAATATGTCAATACTATCCCTCAATAATATGTTAATAAATACTATCCCTCCAGTTCTTTGAAATCGCTTCCGAGTGCTACCAAATCCATTTCTCTGTTAGCTTGACAACATCACCCCTTGGAATATAGAACACGGGACAGCCCGGGTTGTACCAAAAATATGTTCTTCAGTAAAATACTGGTTTTGTGCCCAACTGGAACCCAGGCTGCTTGTTTTCTGCGGAAAGCATCATGGACCATGATTTTCTAGAGAGGGTATTTTGAAGGTCAATTTAGATGCTTTTGATTTTGTGAATTTTCAAACAGTTGCGGTTAACCGCCGGCCATCGCACGGGTCACAGGTGATGCCAGCAACCCACCACAATGACAAGGGTGATTTGTGGGAGGGTGACCTGCTTCACTTTAACCCAGACCTTCACATTCATGTTTTTTTGTATTTATACTGTACTTCGGTCCCCGTTTTGGTCTCAAAAAGGGGGAGTCCATGTTGGCCACAGAATTTCCAGGAGGATCAATGATTAATTTTAGACATCCTCCTCTCTGGAGAGCCTTTAAGAAAGTGCAACCAAACTTTGCAGCAAGGATCCTACTCAACACGACCCGAACAGCAGGACCAAACTAATCTGTCAGAGAGTCGCAACAAAAAGAATATATAGGTAGCTTATATATCTCCAAAAAATATGCGTCAATCTAAATACCACGACTTGACCCTGTTGAAACGATGTTAGGGACATGTGATGAGGCAGATGCTCTCCCGCACTTTTGCTTCTTTGCGGCCGCTTGCGCCCAGCATCCGACATTTCTCGGCATCTTGGCAAGTTTTGAGTGTTTTTTGTTCAACCAGCGGCATTGTAGCAATGTGCCCTGAAGGAGCCCCTGCCTTGTTGAAGATTGATCAGTCATGTATGAGCACCATGTTGCCTCCACAGGCTCCCAGAGGAGAATTTTGAGATCTTTTGAGTCACGTCGCCAGAGAATCCCCCACTAGGCAGTGAAGCTGCCGGCGGACTCCAATCAAGCACAGGGCATCGGTCAATATGCCAAGGCGGGGGGCGGGGGCTCCCGGGGGCTCGAAAAGTTTGATGGGATCCATATAGATCCAGGAGATTCTGAATGGATCTGAGATAGTCTGAGAATGTCTGAGATCTCTGAATTTCTTGATGTGATATGATGTGATTTGATGTGATTTCATATGCAAATCATTGCAAATCTAGAGGCCCCAGCTACAGAATTGCAGAATAGATACAGTGATCCGCGGAGCAAGGTCCATTCACACTGGCAACTGGCTGTTTATCCCTATGGCATGGCATCCAGGACCTTTTGGAGGGCAAATTTGGCGACAATGTGGATGCTTCAGTCTACGAGCGGGTGGAGATGTTTCACACAGACTCCGTCGCTTGACCTTATGACGCTGACCGTCAGGTTAAGTCAGCCTCGGCCTGCCGATCCACGTGTTGGGGCGGTTGACAGATGGACCTGTAGGCCTGTAGGCTAATTCGCTTTCAATTGAGGAACTTGCAGGTGACTGTGCTGTCAATCCTGACTCCAGGGTATTCCACGAGATTCCACTACATTTGGACATATTTGGACATATTTGGACGGTCTTTGCGATGCTTCGCTTCTCATGTGGGTCGTTCTCATTCCATTTGCGCGGCTGAGGTCATGTGTGGCATCTCGGCGTTGGCGTTGAAGACCAATGCACCGACCATTCTGCGAGAAGAGGCTTTGACCTATGCTGATGCTAAAGGAGCCACAGTCTTTGGCAGCAGCGTGCCTTGGGCCAAATCGGTCTGAGTCTGAACAGTGACGTGCAAGTGCATGAACGGTATGAATATGTATGAATGGATATGAGTGGATATATGACTGATTTATTAACATGATTTGACCATACTACAACATGGTCAGGTCCCTTACAGGCCTAATCAATCTCCGGTTAGATGTTTCAAATCCTTCGCATTTCTGTGTCCCAACTATGATCATTCCTGGAACGATGTTCCAAAATGGTCCGAAATGGCTCATATGCAGCGTGATGTCAAGGCGAAGTGCGCCCCAGAGAAGGTCATTGCAGCGAACGCCTCCGCAGCACCCTGGCAGAGTCTGCTAGAGAAGCGGGGTGGAAATCTACGAGGTCATACTGGCCGAGAGCAGAAGTAACTAAACCATAATCAACCAGAGCAAGCAGATTTAGACTTTAGATGATTTTAGAAAATTTTAGATAGATTTTAGATTTAGGAGCCTGCTTGTTACATTTTTGTATATTTTTGTTGTTTGCCATCGGGGGTGAGCTCATGAGAAATCACGCCTTCTACATTCTGCATGCTCGCTGTCATGGATGGCTGCGCTGAGGTCAGAGAATGGGACTCCAACGGCACTGTCTTTGGATTCAACCCAAGCATTCCTGGACATGATGCAGGTGGAAACTTTGACATGCGACATGACATCATTTCTTTATATTTCTTTGACAGTTTTTGCATGTTTTTGCACTTTGACAGGTTTTAAAATTCTAAAGCATGTTCAGTTGCATTTTTTTGTGGCCTTAGCGCCCTTAGCGCTGAGATGCGCTGAGCAAAGTGCGTGAACCAGATTGTCATGAGATGCATGTTGCAGGTGAGTTTGGGCACAACGACTTCTATCCAGTGGTCATGGCAGCAGCACAGGCCATAGTGCCATAGTGCCATAGAGATCTATTTGAGATATTTGAGATCTATGACCTATGAAGCGTATTTATGATGAACATAAAGCTTGGCGCAACGCTGCTTCATCCTTCAGGACAATTTACAAGACGCTCCCTCTTCTTACCTAAGGATATTGTCATGTCAGAGCATTTCCATGGGAGACATCAGCCCACCGAATCGCTGAAAAGATTCGGAAGAAACAGGCATCGACAGGTTGCGCTGATTTTCACGCATATTTATCTTTTCATTAACTTGCCAGTTGTGTTTTGTTTGGTCCGACCTTTCTCCTTTACTTAATTTACCTGTGAAGTCCCGTCCGAGTCAGGTGACTGGGCAGGTAGATGGCAAAAAGGCTCTGCTGGCCATGATCGCCTTGGATGAAATCCGCGGACGCCTTGCAGAGGCGCCATCGAACTCGGCCAGACTCGGGATATGGGTTTCTCTGTATACAGGATGATATGGGTTTGTCTGAAAATAGGGTATTGGATGTATTGGGTACTGGGTACCACCAAAACCCGTTTACCATCGTTTACCATTCTTGCTATTAAAAGTTGCCACTTGGATCCACTTGGGGATTATTAAGGCAATTTTCAGACACCCGCATAACCCCACAAAGAATTAGTTCAATGACGCCAGGGGCGTGCCCTATTTTCACCCAAGGTGACTGTGGTGCCAGAGTTTATCTCTGCATTGGCTTGAGATCTCTGTTTAATGTTTACCCTCTGGTAAACTAACATAACTATATATATATATATATGGAAAATCACAATTTTCAATGGGAAAATCCACTATAAATCACCATTTTCAATAGCTATGTTAAATTACCAGAGGGTAGTTCTGTTTGATTGATTGGGATCCTGATGGCAATAGAGAGAGAGATTTGGGAGCCCAATGTTCGGAGGTGACGGGTCCCCCACAAGAATTCCGTGGAGACTCTTGTAGTTCCGCATGGGTTGGCCCACAGCAATAGTGCTTGAATCGAGTGGCATAAAATGTCTCCGGTATCCCTTTGCCAACGATTCTAATCCGTTGAAAACACATGAAAACACTAACCGTCACCAACCTGGACATAAGGCCTTCTATCACCTCGTATCCATTCCATTCATTTTGTCGTTCAGGTCTTCAGCCTGAAGAGCTACTTAGCTGAAAGCATGTGGAAGAAAACCTAATGCGAGCTAAATTGTCAAGGGGCTACATTTGCTGCTACATCCGCAAAGTTTGATGCACTCATTTATGTCATATGAGTCATATGAGTCATATGCACTAGTATGCACTGTGACTGTGTTAATCTGTAATCATACGAACGACGAACAGATCATCCAAAAGTGCCGAGGCTACAAAATCGACCACGTTGTGCATGGCTGCTTGTTTGTTCATTGGAGGAGGGGGAGACCACAACCTCACCTTGCTTCTCAAAACCCTCACTATTAGATGCTATGTTTTGTGCGGAAACTCTTCAAGACAGCTGAAATCAAGTCGCTCTCCTTGTGGAAGGTTGCTGACTTAATTACTTTTGTGTTTTCAGATTTTGTAGTCACAAGTTCCGAGCTCTTCCCCATGCTTCCCATATCTTCCCAGACTTCCTGGCAATTCCCTGTGCGGAGCTCGTGAACGCCCACAGTGCTTTTGACCCAGGTGCCATTGCATCCGCAGCTGTGTACGGTGCACTCCTGGGTGCTAGCGTTGAAGAGAGCCTTAGGTGCAGATTGGAATGTGGGCACCAAGCCGTGGTTCTCTCATGAGCTGATACTGCTGTTGAATGGAGATATAATATGGCAAAGAAATCCAAAAGAGAGATCATTTTTTTCAATGTTGAGCCTTCACCTTGGAAGCTGATCGACTTTTCAGAAATGCGGCTCAGATCTAAGGATTGAAAGTGCCATTGGCATGGCAGTAGCACATTACATTCCCTTCCGCGCCATCCGCGCAGGCAGGGTTACCAGATCCGAGCACTTCCAAACATTTCCATGGCATGTGAGATATGTGAGCTGTGTCATCATCAGGTCATCACGATGACAACGGCATTATGTCAAACATAGGTTAACATCATGACTCAGTCCCTAGCATCAAACTAAAATGCGTAGTATATCATTATATTTAATTATATACAATTATATATAATTATATATATAATTAAATATAATTCTATAATTACATGTATAATGCATCATCAACATTTCATATCATATATTCAAAGATCTTATCATATGACTATCATGACTCATGACCCTCAAATTGACTATGATTCTTTCCAGCATCCCATGGCATCCCATGGCATGGCCGCAGGCAAGCAGCTCTCTGACTCCAAGGGCGCTTCGGCTGCCATCTCTACTGAGGCTGCAGTCCTCTCTGTGCGACGTGTCGGGAGGCTCAACAGATCTCAGGCCGGTGACCGATTTGAAATTTCTGGCGGCTGTTGAGGGGAACTACTCCCAAAGACGGTGATGAAAGCTTGCTACACACACATACATATATATATAAATATCAAATAATTATTAATTATAGATTTAGGTACGCTACACTCACTTGCACACGCACACATCGCACACATCGCACATATTGTTTATAGTCATGTATGTAAACATGATTAAACATGTATACATATACATGTTTGCGTACAAATGTCAGTGTATGTCAATTCTGTGCGCGCTTTGATATGCACATTTTCAAGTAATAGTAAGAACATGATAATAACAATATGTTAATATAAAATTAATAGTTGTAATATTGCGAATCCACCGTATGTATACGGCTGGGGCCTCCCTACTGTTTTCACTGAGGCCATGCGAGGCTTCGTGGGCCCCAAGGATATCTTCCGCAATCCGGAGGCCTTGGGGCACAGCCATGCGTGGCCGTGTAGAGGATGGCTGATTCACAGCTATGTGTATGACCAAAATGCTATTTGAATCTATATAATTGGATCTATATGGCTATATGTATCATGTGTGCGTATTCATGATTATACATTGCTACTAGTCATGGCGTGTATGGATAGCGATAAAGACCTAGAGAGCTACAACATAACTAATATGATTTATGTGTGCCGACATGTGCAGAAAAAGGAATAAATGGAAGTTGCATGTTTTTTCTTGATCATGATGCTTGCAATATGCTACCTTGGAAGTTGCCGCAGCGCGCAAAAGCAATAGCTGCATGTCATGGAATGCACACAGTAAAAGTTTGTACTTACTTTGCACATCTTTGCACGGCTATCTAGACTTGGATGTAGGTAAGAAATCTGGAGGATCATGAATCATGACATGGATTTGAATGAGACCAAACAGGATCTAAAGGATGGACAGATGAAACATGTTCAATTTGGCATGTTTGAAGGCGATCTTTCGCTTCTTCGAGCCAACGACAGGAACAGGACTGGGAACAGTGCAATCATTGGTCCTGGGATGTCCTGGGATTTGTTGGCATGCCAATTCACTCGGGCTGTAAACGAAACAAAACCTCAACCACCAGTAAGGACCGCCCGCAAGAGCTCAGCAGTTCGCAGGTTTTAGCATGCGCGAGTGCCCATCCATCCAAATAGCAGCATTTGACTCTATGACTTTTCATAAGAGCTGCCTGCCACTGAATCCCATGACGGAGAGCTCTCCAGGAAAGAGCAAGGACAACATCGACATCACCTTGGGCCAAAGCCTCAATTTTCAGGTAATAGGTCATTGGGGAGACCTTGTGGATCGTTGTGGATGATTGTTTTCCTGGGCTGTTGATCCAGTCCTACACAACCAGGAATTCTTGGATTCTGCGACATGGCCCTGCCGAAATCCATGCCAATTCATCCAAAATCAGGTGAATGTGTTGTTGGAAGTGATGAACAGTCATGATTCACGCTTCCACGCGTAATGTATGCATGCGAGCCCGAGAGTTGCTGTTGTTGATTTGTGTGATTATCAAGCCTGAGAAAAGAAACATCCATGTCCATGCCAGACATGTATCATAACTTAATGACAGTGTTCTTTTGATTTGCGCCTTTCAGAGGTTCCAATCTGACGTTGGACCTTTTTTGGGGTTCCAGTGCCGGTTTCGAAAACCGAAAGCCGCGAGTCTGTGGCTTGGACCTGCCAGTGTTCCAAGGCAACAAAGTGCGGTGGGGCCCTGGACCAAGTCCTTTCAACCTCATCCTGTCCCACAGCGGTGATGATTTTGCAGTGCCTTCTCCAAAATTCTGTTTGCCGGGGATGTGGGCAAATCTCGCTGCCAGTTTTCTGGGTGAGAAACACTGTGGAGAAAACATGCGTTTGAAGCAGAAATAGACTTGGCAGATCTTGGCAGCGACTCAGATAGGGTCCTGTGCACTCGACTTTTCGGTCCCAGGTCATGGGCATGCACTTCAAACTTGGCCTCTACGAGCATCAGTCAGCTGGGGCGCTTGAGGGAGCAATCAATGCATTGGTGAACAACCCTGAGCTGGTTTCAGGCTGGACACCACTCAGTTGTAGATTATCAGCCCATACCAGCCATATATTTGGTTAGGGTGGAGATGGGTATGGGATGGAAAGATTGTACGGGCCAAAACCATCCAAAACCCATCACCCCTCAAAAATATTCAAACATCCAGCTAAACTCTGTTTTGCTATTCACCGGCTACAGGGTTTTGACGATGTTTTGACCCACAGCCAAGCTGTCCGAGAAAATTGACAGGTGGTGTTGATGGCATTGCTGGTATCAACATCATTGCCTACGAGCCTGCCTTCGGCATCATTGGTGATCCTGCCAAGAAGGACCCCAAGACCAGACAGTTGCTCGGCCTTTTCGGAATACATATCTTGTATCGCTAGCAGGGGTAACGTCCAAGCGGGTACCAGTTCCACTGTATTTTCAGGACACACTTGCCATATATAACTTTGACAAATTTTGCCATAACTTTTACAAATCTATCTAATCTATCTATCTATCTATGAATCTATCTATCTATCTATCTATCTACCTACCTACCTACCAGTCTATCTATCTACCTATCTATCTATTTATCTATCTAATCTTATCTGATCTATATACTGTAATCTTATCTGATCTAATCTTATTATCTAATCTTATGTATCTTATCTTATATTATCTTATCTTTTATCCATTTTTATCCTTTATCTTTTATCTTATCTTATCTTATCTATCTATCCATGCATCCATCTATCTGCCTATCTACCTATCTATACTTATCTAATTCTATCTAACCCCAACTATATATACGTATATATAATCCCGTGTAGTCCCATCTAATCCCATCTAATCCCATCTAATCCAATCTAATCGTATCTACCTTTCTACCTGTCTATCAATCAAACTATCTACCATTATCTACCTATCTACCATTATCTGCCTAAGCCTATCTACAATTTTTTGCCTATATACAATTAGATACCATTATCTACCTACCTACCATTACCTACCATTACCTACCATCATCTACCATTATCGACCATTATCGACCATTATCTACCGTTATCTACCATTATCTACCTATCTATCAATCAATTTATCTATCTATATCAATTTGCATTAGATTTGCACTATTTTGGTATACATACATATTGCATATTTATATATTTGCATGGCTGAACAAGATTACATTATTTCAATGATGGCTGTGTCGCAAGGATCATTCTGGGAGAGGTCTGAAGTTTCGGTGTGAGGTCGGCCGACCACTCCATGGCTTTCATCGTCTCTCGCATTTTGCAGAAGGTCTTGAAGACGGGCAAGGCCTGGGCACCGCAGACGCTTTTGTAGCACTGACCTGGAGTTCACTTGCCGCAATGCTGCAATGCAATGCAGCTAGATATTGTGATAGATAGATAGATAGATAGATAGAGAGATAGAGAGAGAGAGATATATATATATACATATAGCATCATATAGCATCATATAGCATCATATAGCTACATTGTGAGGTGCCAGGAACAATGGATGAGGCTTGGATGGAACTGATGTTTCTTGGCCACACGTTCAGCAGAAAAGGGCATGGAGAAGAATCGGTCAAGCCTGTGGTGCACTTCTTCACCGATCCATGTTTGCGGAAATGTGGCAACTTCATGTGAGCCAAATTTGTTGGTCAAAATTAATGCCGCATGCCCCGGACATGTCATCCGGTAGCCGGTAGCTCTCGAAAGTAATACGGCAGTCGGTGAAAGTTGGATACCCCGGGACTCCTTCGCAATTTCTTGGCCAAACTGAGTATTCAAGCATCATAATCATGGGTCTTCGAGGTACTGACTGCAATATGTGTGGAACTTTGGCTCGTGCCCAGCCAATCCGCCCATGGGTGTGCAAGGTTGTCGCCATATGACTATGGAAAGGATGCGCTTTATGAGAAGGACACCCGTGCATTGATGGAGAAGATCACGCTGCATGGCAGCGGTTCATAGTGGTTTGGAATGCTGGCTGTAGGATCCGCATGGATCCGCATGTGACCAATTGTCAGCTACGATTATGAATTATTGAATTTATAGCATATCTTAGCAGCACATTTCCAAGTTTCAGGCGAAATTGCTCACCTACAAGCTACCGTAGCACCCAATTTCAGAGAATTTCAGAAGCACCATCTCACTGGGATGTGCCCATGGACCCATGCCTTCAGATCCTCAGGTTTTCTCATGGTGGGCCTGAGTATGATGCCAAGTACCCTGATGGCATCCCCACAGCCATCGACATCACTCTGAAGAGTGGTAAGGAGCCTGCCTCAGTCGAAAATCCCGCGGAGAGAATGAGTATTGCTACGGGTTACATGTGAGTATACCACAAGGTGCTTTGGGACTTAGTCAGCATGGATAACATTGATCAAAGATGATCAAAGTGGCCTCAGTGCCACAACCGGATTGTCAATTACGTGTGCCGGCAGATGTATGGTGACACCTGCGAGGTGATTAGCAGCGGAATGGCTTCTTTGATGCACTCTCTGGGACCTGTGGTGTTGCGTAGTGGGTCATGCTTCAAAACACCTGCCACATCCTCAAGACATAGTAGGTGAATGTCGGTGAAGAAGTCTCCAGATCGTTTGCAACGCGCAATCGAAATTACTGTACTTCGAGTTGTCCCCACCATGACATCTAAACGTTTTGTTACTGGCAAATCTTCTGGCATTCTATCTGACATATCTTCTGGCATTTTATCTGGCATATCTTCTGGCATTCTATCTGGCATATCTTCTGGCATTCTACCTGGCATATCTTCTGCAATATGTTCTGCCATATCTTCTGGCACTCTATCTGGCATATCTTTTGGCATATCTTCTGACAGTCTATGTGGAATTCTATCTGGCATTCTATCTGGCAAATCTTCTGGCATATGTTCTGGCAAACATTCTGGCACTTTATCTGGCATACCTTCTGGCATTCTATCTGACATTCTATCTGGCATACCTTCTGGAATTCTATCTGACATATTTTCTGGCATTCTATCTGGCATTCTACCTGGCATATCTTCTGCAATATGTTCTGGCATATCTTCTAGCACTATCTGGCATATCTTTTGGCATATCTTCTGACAGTCTATCTGGAATTCTATCTGGCATTCTATCTGGCAAATCTTCTGGCAAATGTTCTGGCAAACATTCTGGCACTTTATCTGGCATACCTTCTGGCATTCTATCTGACATTCTATCTGGCATACCTTCTGGCATTCTATCTGGCATATCTTCTGGCATTTTATCTGGCATATCTTCCGGCATTCTATCTGGCATATCTTCTGGCATTCTACATGGCATACCTTCTGGCACTCTATCTGGCATACCTTCTGGCATATCTTCTGACATTCTATCTGGCATTCTATCCGGCAAATCTTCGGGCGTTCTTTCTGGCAAACATTCTGGCGCTTTATCTAGCATACCTTCTGGCATTCTATCTGACATTCTATCCGGCATACCTTCTGGCATTCTATCTGGCATATCTTCTGGCATTCTATCTGGAATACATTCTGGCACTTTATCTGGCATATCTTCTAGCATTCTTTCTGACATTCTCTCTGGCGTTCTATCTGGCATATCTTCTGGCATTCTATCTGGCCGTTGAGGTCCAGCGGTGCTCACTGAGCTCGGAGGGTCCCAGGTTGAGGTCCAGCAGTGCTCACTGAGCTGGGAGGGTACCAGGTTGAGGTCCAGCGGTGCTCACTGAGCTCGGAAGGTCCCAGGTTGAGGTCCAGCGGTGCCCAGTGCGCTCAGACCCTTGCAGTTGAGGTCCAGCAGTGCCCACTGCGTGCGGAAGTTGGCGAAGAGCTTGGCGAAGAGTTGGCAAGGCGGAAGTGAACATGGAAGTGGAGGCAGAGGTGGTGGAGGAGAAGGAGGAGGACGAGGAGGAGGTGGAGGAGAAGGAGGAGGAGAAGAAGGAGAAGGAGAAGAACAACTCTGATAAAATCTAACAACCCTCACCTGGCAGGTGGGGAACGAAAGGGTCCTGAGACTGCTGGCAAGTTGAGGCCCTGCTTTAGCTCGAACCCCATAACTCTAGCCAACTCATGCCAATTCTATCTCCCCTGTTACCATGTACCCTGATGCACCAACCAGGGGCACTTGGAAACTTTGTTTCATAGAAGGTTTGAGCAGCAATTTGCTGAGTATTTTGAGGTATACCCTTCCTCGCTTTGGATTTTGCAGGCCTATGGAAGGTACTGGTCCATACAGACAGAGGCTATATATTGATCGTTCTTGTTCTCCCCTTTTTGTAGTTAAAACTGCGCATCACTATTTAGAGGTTAGAGGTTATATAAGCAGTGGTTGGCCCCCGGACAAATGATGTTTGTGGAGGAACGATATGGAAAATGTAGGAACACTATAGAACACTGTCATAGGTCCTCTTGACCTTTGAGGTCATGTACCCTTCGGGTCATGCTCGAAATGCCACCGCAGATTTGAAGAAGATCTTGCAGCACAAGAATCGCATGTCACTTGGCACTAAGATGGGATATGGCTATGACCATCACCATCACCTCAGTATACTTGGCCACCTTGGAATGCTGGAGGAATTTCCTCCTGGCAGGGTCGGATAACACTCAAGATACGGCGTGGAAGATATGGAAAGATGCTTTGTTGGCACACTAACCTCTTAAATTAAGGCTAAAAATGATTTCCCCATTTTATGAATTTTTGGTTGGTTGTTCTGCTGGTTGATATGCCGATTTTTGGCCAATGTACCATTAGGTTGGGCGACATCGTGTTCCAAGATCGTGCCACGGTGGATCAGTTCGTGAACAGCGCCTCGGAGAAATAGGGAAACAAATGGAAACAATGGGGAAAACATGGGAAAAACACTGGAGCAATGACTAGTGACATCCAGTGACATCCAGTGACATCCAGTGACCAAAGTTTGAATGCTTACAATGACCAGCATCTGTAGAAGACAATGATTATTACATTTTTTTTCTCAGTTCTTTCACCCTGATTACCTATACTATTATACTTATATTACTTGTTTCAGTGTTGGGGATAATTTCCAAGGAACGAACTTGAACCAGAGCAAAAGTGCATGTTTCCTTGAAGTCATTGGAATCTTTTGTTTGCTGTTGTGCGGAGAACAGCTGCTTGAGCGGTCCCTAGCCAGCATGCCACTCTCAGGATTGGTGACAATGAAGGCTGGCAATAAGATGAAATAAGAAGATTTCCCCAGAAGTGGCTGTGAGAAGTGGTGCATGCACAGAGTTTGTAAACACAGCTCATAAGGTAGATCGAGTCTCATTCTATTTGAATTATTTAATGGCCAATTGCTTGTTGGAGTGCATATTGCATGGGGCGTGCATAGTATTGGCATGAGATTGCCAAGTTGTCCAACCCGAGGGTGCTGTCACATTCAGCATGGCCGTTTAATATTGGATCTCACAAACGCATTTTGACATGATCAAGGCTGACTGTGAGAATAAATGGAGAGGAAAGACAGATTTTTTGCAGCAGCAGCACGGTTTGTATTGTCGCGTGTCTACCTGATTGGCCAGGATGCATCAGCAGCAGATGCCTGCAGCCTTTACGACTTCGACTTCAGCAAAATGAAGCAGCATGACTGCCCCTTGTCAAAAGATGTCAGATGCCGCATTTGGCTTATCTTGTGAGGAGTCTCGTTCAGGTTGTTCTCATTCCAGACTTGTGTAACGCACTAATAAAACAGTCAAAGACCTTCAGCTCGCGCATGCTCTGAAAGTCACACCGAGTCACACTGCGCATTCTCAGCCCAGAAAATTCCAGTTGTTTTACAGGGTTGATCCAACTCACATCAACTCACTATAGGCAAATGATAGCCACAAGAGAGAGAGAGAGAGAGAGAGTGCGATAGCCACTAAGGCTAAGGGGTAAATGGGTCATTTCACCTTTATGCTTACTACTAAATTTACCTCCCTTGTACCTGGGGCGTTTGTAGCAACCTGTTTCAGTTCTGAATCCCCGTGCATGTTTGCAGCTGCATAAGGATAGCGTTCCACGTTTGAGCTTGGTTGGTCATGAAAAAATTAAATTCATGTGTCCTCCATGCACGGGATCCTGCAAACGGGATCCTGCAAAGGGCATCCTGCAAAGGGCATCCTGCAAAGTATCACGCATTGCATGTAGCTTCTGGTAGGTGAAGTGTTGGGTGCCGCAAGTCGGTCACTGACAATGACACTGCTATTTATTGTTCTGTTCTAAGGGGAAATCCAAACGAAGCCAATGGTTTCCTGTCTTCCATCTTCCTGGTATTCTTCCAACGGGCCAGGTATCGATGGATGAGTGATTCTTGACAGCTGCTCGCTAAACCGAGCGCTTGACTGGGGGGCAAAAGTTCTTGATGTTCACAAAATTACAGATGATTCCACTTGATTGATGTATTTGTAGGATGAATTGAAACCACTAACCAGTTGATAGCATGATGGCAATTCTAGAAGTGGTTTTGCCCCTGCCTTACTGTCCGACCTTGGGCTTGCACATTTGGTGCAGGGTATCCCAGGGTTTGGGCACTTCACATGTTGCGCTTTTAAGACGAGTAGGTCATGGCCATCAAGTGCCAAAAATTACGGCTGGCAGAAAAGGGTGGCAGCCGACATGTGGAAATCATTTTCACTGATTCACCAGTGGAAATCAAATGATGAACCCAATAGTCAACCACTCCCCACATAGCCCCAGGTTTATACAGGTTTATCATTTCCGCCGGGCACCGAGGATGGACCGGAGGCTGTTTAACTATTCACAGTGACACTCAGTGAGTTTCTGAAATTTCTCCACCCAAACACTACACAAGACAAACAAACAAGGGTGTAGTCACCAAGCAAGACCGAGTAGAAACAGCACCATATTTTGATGCCAAAGTCACTTTTACACTCTCACGTTCGCTGAGAACCTCTTCCTGCAAGGTCTCTGGCTCTAAAGGCGCAAAATCAGAAGTTGTCTCAAACATCTGCAGATGCAATCTGAATGACCAGTGCTGACCACTGCACCAGAATCCGATTTGGTCCCAGCTACATTTCATGCTCTTTCGGATGCTAAGTCTTATGTTGTTGTGAGGACATTCAGCAAGCTAGTCGCATCTAGTGGCAGCGCTAACCAGTTGCACATTTCACCAGCTTGGCCCACTATGACGACAATGACCAAGTCAAGATCCTTACACTTTTGCAGGCTGTCGCGGGATAGGGCGCCTTTAAGCTTGATACAAGGTGTTGCATCCAAGATTAAGAATATGATCAGAATTTGTCTGATATTCTTGGGGTTTACAAATCAGAGCAGTGTAGCAGTCTAGCAGTGTAGCAACGATTTTTGCAGTCACTCCCAGTGCAAGCATGGTATATAGGTCGCTTGCAACAGGTTCTGTGTTTGCAGGGGGTTGTGCATCGTATGGCCAGATAGAACTTGGCATGCATGGGACACCGTTGGCAGGTGGCTTTGCTTTATCCTGATCTCCGTGCAGGCCTTGCGAAAAGGGGGTATGTTGTAACTTTGGACATTTTTAGATAACATCGCGTGCTTGACAGCACTAGAGGTGCAAAGATGATCAGAAAGATCATGATCATGTCATGATCAAAATAATCATAAAGCAATACCGTAAAGTAATATCTAGTCTATATATAATTACATTCCTCAGAAATTCCATTCCCCCTTGGGCAGAGCAAGCAAGGCAAGGGAGCCCCATACTGCCCATACTTTATATAATTATATATAAACACGCTGCTGAAATCACTAATATTTAGAAGTTCCTTATTTTTTGGCGCAACACCTTGGTCCGACTCTATCGTTCCATGGGGGCATTCTGGAGCCCTCGCTCCAGGTGCCTGCAGTGTTTGCACAAGCCAGAGGTTCGCTGAGATTGTGTGATGTCGTGTGATTAAACATGCAGACGCCAAAAACAAGGCACCGTGTTGCAATGTGTTGCATGACATGGGCCTCAAAGTCTCAAAGACCCAGATATCGATTTCAGATGATTTCAGATTGCTTGCAGATTCTCTGATTCGGTGATTTTAAGGGACCGGCGTGAATTTGTAGACCTCCAGTTGTCCGCTCTGTCAGATGCTGAAGGTCATCCAGTACGGGACGCGCTGCGATTGTTTCATGGATACTGGATACCAGCTGTTTCAAGCCAGTGGATGCCATTGGTTTTCTTCTGTTTTCTTGGTTTCTACTTCACTTTGAGTTTCTAATTCATGTTCGTGCACAGTAACGCACAACGTCACAGTTTCTAGGAATGAAGGCCCACGATGTATGGCTTATACATATTACATATACCTTCACATACATTAACAAATAATAGCATATAATGCCCCCATCAAAGGCTTGACAGAATATGGGTCCTGCGATCCAATGTTGCATGAAGGATGTCATTGGTGCGATTGCTGCTCACCTCTTGCACGGAGAAGAGGCTGGCAGTGGCTTGCACGATTCTGATTATACAATATATATATATATTTCAATATCAATATATAGATTCTTTGATATGTCCAAATGCAAGCACTCGCTGTAGCTTCTAATCTAGCCTATTACTCTAGTCAGACCTAAACTAAAACAACCCCAATCAATCAATTCCAACTAGATCTATAATCTAAACCCGAACCAAACCTCTAATCTCACCGCATCTCATTTCTGATCTAACCTCTACTCTAGTCAAACCTCCAATCTAATTTCAAGTCAAACATCTTATCTTATCTTATCTCATCTCGTGTTATCTTATCCTATCTCATCTATCCATATTAGTCTGTCTGAGTCTATTTATCTATCTAGCTATCTATCTATTCTATCCATTCCTATCCTATCTTATCTTATCTCACCTTGTCTTATCTTATCTTATCTTTCTAATCTAATCTATATAATCCTATCTATCTATCTATCTTATCTTATCTTATCTTACCTTACCTTACCTTATCTTATCTTATCTATCTATCTATCTATCTGCCTATCTTATCCTTGTTTTCCCTAACTTTTCCAACAAAGCTAATCTAATCTAATCTATCTATCTAGCTAGCTGTCTATTCTGTTCTATTCTAGTCTAGTCTATTCTATTCTATTCCCTTAGGGTCACTAGTCTGGCTGCTTCAATAGGGGGCTGCTTCAGTTTGTGATGGCACCAATAAAATCACAATTGAATCCAGGAATCTCTTTGCAAGGGAGATCACAGAATGAGCTGGAAAAACTTTAGGATTTCCAGGGAAACAATCAGGAATCGGCTTGTTTTTTAGCCCGCAAGAATCTGGTTCAAGGATGTTCAAGGCTTGACATGTAGCCAAATCTAAAAACGATCTGGGAAACCGTGGGACGAAGTTTGGAAAAACATGGATTAAAAAAAACCAGAGGGGTGGGGACAAAACTGGGAATGATCTGGGAAAACCATGGGAAGATGTTGGGAAAAACGTGGGAAAACTAAGGGAAAAAGCTGGGAAAGACTTGGGAAAACTGCGGGACGGGGGGCAAAACTGGGAATGATCTGGGAAAAACATGGGAAAATGTTTGGAAAACTGTATGGGCACAGGGTGCAAAACTGGGAATGATCTGGGAAAGATGTGGGAATATTTCGGGGAAACAATGGGAACAAGTATGGGGATGGCTGGAGGAAGGTGAGAGCATTTGTCAAACAAGCAAACACCTGGTCTAAATGTTTTGTCATGGGATGGCATGTCATATTTTGACTACGTAGGCACCATCAGGGATTTTGATGGGATTTGAAAGGGAAGAACATGGGACACAGCAAGGATTTTGAAAGGAGTTGTTTGGGAAAGGAATAATGTGTCAAATTTGGCTGCCTCATTTGAAGCAGTCCCTCATCAGAGCAGCCTAGGTAGTGATCAAATGATATTCTATCTATCTAGGGGGCTTATGATTGGCTTATGGCCGTGTTGGTGAGATGGAAGACGTGAGTCTTGGAGAAGCTCATAAAAGCTTTGGCCTCTTCGATTTCACACTCTGCCAAAGGGAAATGGCGGATATGATTAATGAACAGATGGTGTCAATTGAAACAAGCTTGTGTTCCAGCTGGAATCTGACAGGACAAGCCGCCCCAACGAGATGTTGGCATTGCATGTGACCTGGCAAAGAACCATTGAGCAGCAGCTTGGAAGGGGGTGGATCCAGCCGCAACATACCTCAAAGGTGTGATGATCTCGTATGACTTCATGATTTGAAAGGCCAATGTCTGGCCCACAGCCATGGATTGCATGGAATGCATGGACCTCTGGATAGATGATTTGATATGATTTGTTGATTTTGTTGGAATGATCCATCAGTTTTCTTTGATGGGATGTGGGCTCCATGGGGCCTTTTCGTTTCCAACATGGGAACTTTGCAGTGTGGCAATGCGGCAATGGACACACCTCCACCGTGCTGTTTGCGAGCTTAGGCATGTTATTAGGCTCCGTTGCCTTCGTAATGCTCCTCTTCTATGTCGTGTGGCTCGGCACTTCATATTTCACCAATCGCGGTCATCACACAGGTCCCAAATCTAATGTTGAAACTCAGTACAGGAATTATTCCACTGCTCCTCTAAAGTGATTCGGTTTTTTCGGCTTCAATCAGAACTTTTCGACCTTTTTATATTGTACCGAGCTATTAAGTGGCAATGCTTAAAAATCGGGCACATCTAGGAAATTTCCCTTGGTGCTCACACACATATATATATGTATATATAATTGATTAAAATCATATATGACATCAAAACATACATACATAAATAAATGAATATATATATATATATTATATCACATCTCACATATATGTATATAATCATATATATATATACATAGTCACACGCACATATGTATGTATGTACATATGCAGCATGTATATGCACATGTACACATACAGTCATATGGATAAATCTGCACAACATGCATGCCTGCGAAGTAGCTGCAACAAAGAGCAGCATTTTCCCAATGTGCAAAATGAGAAGTCTCACAGTCTTGTAGACACACACAAACATATAAAGGGGCCGGGCGATGTTTTTCCATGACATTCACGACTGCAAAATCCAATTCCGATCTCCGATGGCCGAGGAATTGGCCGGATGATGATATCCGATTGTACGCATGGACTATTATCAGCACGACCTTGTCGATTTTCACTGCTGTCCTGTCCTTCTCTGGAGTCCGTGTTTCTTGGCAAAAGGTCTACAGTTGTTGATGTTTTTGATGGGCACGCCGCCCAGCAACACTGCTGCTATCAATGCTCCAAATTCTTGGTGCCTTTTTGCCTGTGTTGTTGAGTTTTGGGTGAATCGGATCTTTCATTACGTTAATTGCTGTTAATTCTTTTTTCTCGCCGGAATTACAATAGAATGCAGCCAGCAAGAGAAAGCAAACAGAGGTTTCCTTGACCGCCCCCCCCTCCACCTTGTCTTCACCTTGTCGTATTGCTCTACGAAGCGAAGCCGAGGTTTTATGTGATATATGGATGCCCGAGGAGCTGTTGATTGTTACCAATGCGAGCCACCTGTCCGACCTGTCCCAGCATCCAGCTATGGGAATTGCCAGGAAATCTCACATCACTTTGAGTGTGCCCGTGGCTACGCGCTCTTCATCGTTTGCTTTGCCGTACTGCAATTGGCACCCGGCTCAGGGATCCTCTTGCAATGAAGACTTCCACCACGTTTCCCTGCGGCTTTGCTGGACACATTGCATGAACCGGATTGAACCAGTACATGACATTTCTGCATTTGCTTACTATGGAAGGTGTCTTTTGATGTCTTTTGGTCGCCTGTAGACGAGCGGCCTCACAGCAGTTTATCCATACTTTCCTCATGCGCCGTAAAAACGAACGAATCCAGAGATGGAGAGAGGTGTATGAAATCAGGTCCAGGGACGATCACAGCAAAGCCCTTTCGCATCATTTCCTATCACATTCTTCATAGTCTCATGGTGCCTCCATCTCTTTGACTTGCGGATGGTTCGTCAGCAGCTCGCAGCGCAACTGTAGAGACCGAATGAAACCGATGGCTAAATGCATCCGAAGTTGTGGAGGCTCAAAATTTTGATTTCTGTTTTCGGCGGGGTTTCAATCCCATCAATATTCATGAAGCTTCTGGTCTGAAATTTGAGATGCTGCAGTTCTGTGGTTGCTTCATGTGATCTTACCCTGAACTCTCGGAACTATGTAGAAAGCCTTTATCCCCGTACCGGTACATCTGTTATTGCAAGATTTTCTCGAAGGTTGACAGCGCTCACATGCGTTTACTGCGTGGCTTCTAGTTTTGGAGGCACCTGTTTTACACAACACATTCGCTCAGCCCCGCTGGAACCCAA